AAAAAACAAATCAAGACACAATGTCAGGACGTGGAAAAACTGCAGGAAGTGGCAAAGCACGCGCCAAAGCTAAAACTCGTTCATCACGAGCTGGTCTTCAATTTCCAGTTGTAAGTTTTATCTTGATAAAAAAAAAGAGACTCTTGTTTCAATCATTTTTGTTTTTGTTTTTAATTCATAGGGTCGTATTCATCGTCTTCTTCGACGTGGTAATTATGCCGAACGTGTTGGTGCTGGTGCACCAGTTTACTTAGGTGCTGTACTTGAATATTTATCGGCTGAAATTCTTGAATTAGCTGGTAATGCTGCTCGTGATAATAAGAAGACACGTATTATACCCCGTCATCTTCAATTAGCCATCCGTAACGATGAAGAATTGAACAAATTATTATCAGGTGTTACCATTGCTCAAGGTGGTGTCTTGCCTAACATTCAAGCTATTCTTTTACCAAAGAAGACTGCTGAAGGTGGCGCTGTATCAACACCACGTGAAACAACAGGTGGTGCTGGTCCAAGCAAAAAGAAACCAGCTGATAAAGGTGAAAAATCAACACCATCATCAGGAAGCAAAGGTGCTGATAAAGCTTAAATATGCTTGACTTAATTAAATAATTATAAAAATAACATCAAGAAAAATATCTAAAAACCCAACAGCCCTCTTTAGGGCTACTATTTTCTAAATTCATAAATGTTGGATAATCGAACTTAAACAAATGAATAGCCTTTGTTGTATTCTAATTGTAAATAAATAAATAAAATTAAAAAAATTCTTTTGGTAATCATATGTATATGCTTTATATTTAGAAACAATTAATATTTAATGAAATAACCAATAGGAAAAGTTTTTAAGTTGTACATGTTTGATAATGATGATTTTCTTTTTGGAGTATTGATGAACATTCAGACGGGGAGGGAAGGGGGGCAACGTCAGGTCAATACAGTATCTCCGTTATTTGATATATATACTACAAGTCTAGATCTCAATTTATTATAATTAAATTTGAATGAAACAAGAAAGTTTTATATATAAAGTCTGATAAAATTATTCCTATTGACTCAATAGTTTATTGTTTTGATTCACATTATGGTTTAGTTATTATTAACAATCAATTAGACTAAATTTTTCAAAATAATTTATTTAGATGACATATAGCATGAGAAAACAATAGCATTGAAAAAATACAAAGGAAACAAAACTAAATGATTCATAATGTATATACACACCAATCAAAATGAATCGTTTATATTCTTTGAATTTTGGAAAAATAAATGTTCAGATAGATATCAATTGTTATTATATTTTGTAAAAGATCAATCATTTCAGAGATACCGAATGTTTACAATATAGTTTATTTTGCCATATATTTTAAAAATTTGTTTTTCAAAAGACACGCTATCGAATTTTCTACAACAACTTTATTTTAAAAACAAAACTCTTTTGACTTGTTCTTATGTATTTTTATTAAACGACAACATGTGTGAAACATTTCCATTTGCCATTACATCTAACCGTAGTAAAAATCTTTCTATTTTAGATTAATTTTTGCATATATAATGCATTAAAAAAATTTTATTTTTAAAACGATATTCTTGACTTATTTTAATCGATTGTTAGAAGGTCAATAGAAAAAAAATTGGACGAGATATTTTAACTACTAAGTAAAACATTGAAGAAAATGTTCCATAAGTGACAAATTTATTATCGAAATCAAGTTCATTGAAGAAAAAATTCATTGCTCAACACATTGGTACTAACGAGACGATCGAAGGCATGTAAAACAATTAAAAAATAAACAATAGACGATTATCCATTTCGGTAGAGAAGTGTGAAAAAAATGATAGTATATTATACAATTTAGTTTTTTATCGTTCACAAAGCCGATTAAAATAAATCAAGAACATTTTTGACTTTGAGTACTGTAGAAATTTTTCATGAAGCATCTTTTCAAAAAAGAAAAATTTAACTTTTTATGAATGGTCTATGTGAAAACAAAAGATAAAACTGCAGAGATATATGCAAAATAGACTATTTTGTAAATATTTTAATACACTCGATACATGCCGATCGTCTTTCTCAAGCAGCATAAGTAGGCAAGAGCTATAGAGGGTCATCTTCTGACAGAAAGCTTTGAGCCTTTTTAAATTCAGAACTAGATGGAAAAGGAGATATGCTCATCATATATCCGATTTTCTTGATTAATTCTTCACACTATTATCATTTGACCATAAATAATGAATCTATAAAGAAAACTTTAATACTATTCTTTAATGCTCATGAAAATATATGGTGTTTACTGATATTTTAAATAAATCTTTTGTAGGATTATTCTTTATTGAAAGTATGTAGACATATTAGAAGAATAGAACTTTAAATCTTTCGGTTTAATAATAATCATTGATTAAATTCATAGAAGGAGAATTAGAATTATAAGAATATTATTTTATTTGGTTATTATAGACTTTTCTTTTTCACTTGTCAAATCAAATATCTTTTTAAATTAGTCATGTTCACAAAGCAAAAACTAAAACTTCTTCAATGAATAGGATAGAGGCAACAGTTTTTTGTATAAGGAATTTGTTAATGAGTAATTTGATACCATTAGTAGTGATGTTGGTATTTATTTTTTCTTACTTATTAAAATGTTCTTTTGATTTATCGACGAGTAGTGAATGTGTTGATTTTATTTTTTAAAATAAATAGTTATTGTTTGTTATCGAATGGAGCATAACAATTAATTCTATGTTATTGATAAAATCAATTTATTGCTATGATTATTAAACTAATTGTGATAAAAACTTCATTTTTTTCATTAGAATGAATGATTGTAACAATTTATGTAACTATTAATGCAAGAGATGAAACGAATTTATAACAATAAATAATTATTTTGTGAAATACGATCTCAAAAGAAGTGTTGAAGTATAGAAGTAGAAATTTGCACTCCTCCTCTTACAGATCATGGTAGACTCTTATCAACTCTCAGTCCTCATTACAGACATCTGAGTAATATCCCACTACCGCCACTGACCGTAATAGACATAGGCGCAAAATCTAAATTTGCTTCAGGATTATCGTGAAACACAATTGAATTTAAGATAACTATTATTTTGCTCTACTTAGATCTCTTCAATATGATAAAATTAAAATTCTATTCATTTTTTCACATAATAATATTCTGGAAAGTAGAAACTGTTTCATTGTTGAATATTATACTATACATAATCTTCAATGGCTAAAGCAGTACAATGATTAGTTTCCAATAATAATGCACTGCATATTCAACTATCCAGGGATTTTCCGAGGTTGCCAAGATTAGGTTGAGGGTCCATGGCTCAAGAGACTGATTGGAAGACTTTTGTTAAAGTTGATCGGATTTTTTCGGGGACTTGAGTATTTTTTTTTTGGAATTCGTGAGAAAAAAAACAATAAAATACTGGAGCTTCGCTAGAGACAAATGAAAAATTTTTAAGATTCAAGAGTGATTTTCTCGATCTGCGCTTCCATATGGGCCACACCTGCAACTGTCTATAACTAAACTAGAACGAAACTATCATGTCATTCTCTTAATTCATTTTTATGATCTTGATTTGACTTGTCAGTAAGAGAGTATTTTAAATTGATTTATGAATAGAATATTCCTGCTATTGAAAAATGAAAACAACGCTTATCCTATAACAAAAAGAAAATTATTTCCTTTAAAGTAGGTTCTTCCATTATGACGTTTGGGATAATATACAAGAAAAAAGCAAGAGTCATTTTTTTTTTTTGACAATCATGTACGACGATAACAGACAAAAAACAGCTACAAGAATGTTAAATTAGCGTTTTTATCGACTTAGAACATGTAAACGCATTTATCACTTCAATTTGTATTTTAAACACATTTTTCATAGTTTATTTTAGTGCATTTTGATTATAAACTGTTAAAAAAGGTTTTCCTTTGCTACTACGAAATGAATCACATTTAAACAAGAAATTTCCGTTCTTGTCTAGACCATCTTAAATTGATTGAATATTATGCATTACAATCTTTCGCATATTATTTAAGTATTTTTTTACAGTATAGTTGTGAAAACACACTTGTCTAACTAAAACTGAAGTAAACAAATCGTTTTGACAATCACAACATGTTTCTATAACTTAATACTCAATAATTTGTATTGAATGCTTGTCGTTGAATGGTTTTGGCTAGAGAATGATATATATATATGTATATATTTATAACTTTAACCATAATATTCTGTAAAACGATATCTTAAGTGTATCTCATATACTTTCTAAAAAATTTACAAATCTATGGACATGAAAATCGTTGTGATTTGTTGATGACATCATGCTAGCTTCTTGGCAATTTTCTCAAGTAAACAATGATAAAATGGTGTGATGCGCTCAAACTGCCACTAATGAAGGAACATATGCAAGTTTAAAATCGCTTTTGAGTCAGAAGTGGGCACATCATGTAGATCTTAGTGTGCTATGAATATTCTGAAAAAAGTTCGGACTGTTGGTTTATTGCTGTCAAGATATTACATTTTTACGGTATTCTTTTTATGACAATGCCGTGGTCCCCTTCAGAACTCTTTAAAAAAAAAGTTTCGAATTTCAACCTGAAAATTTACACAGAGGTAGACTATAACGAGAATAGTTTGTTGTGAAAATTTCAGATTTTTTGATTCCTTCTATTCTGAAATAAGAACGTAAGAATATATCGGTGTATATTAGGGAAGTAAAAACGTGTTTTTGCCGTAGTCCTGTCTTATTATACCAAAAATAAAATGATCTGAAACTTTTACAATAAACTCTTCTCATTATGATCTATCTCTGCGCAGTTTCAAATCGAAATTTGAAACTTAGTTTTTTGAGAGTTCTGAGAGAGATCACGTTATTCTAATAAAAAATGTCGTAAAAATACAATATCTTAGCAGAAATAAACCAATAGTCCGAACTTTTTTCAGGATATTCATAGCTCACTAGGATCTACATGACGAACATACTCCTGACTCAAAAGCGATTTAATACTTACATACGCTCCCTTATAAGTACTTACATCGTTCTTTTCTCTTCTGACTCGTCTGATGTTTACAGTACCTTTTTTTTTGTTTCTTAGAAATGAGCACATCATATTTCAATAATAAATTATCGATAATAAAACGATTCTATTTTGGCATTATTATCATTAATATTTAAAATAAGCAAATGAGAATTTTGCTATTCCACTTATGTCTCTATACATATATTTCTTGTTATTGCTTTCTTTCGCAATAAATATGCATATACATTTCATCACATATAGCGTTTTGAGTTTTCTCTTCCATTCTTCTTCTTATATCCAAAGTAATAAAATAGAACGAGAAAAAAAATTATTTTCTTCTTTTTTTCATATATTCATTCATATTCGATCCTGCTTATTGAGCATTTGAGAATATTCTGTGGGAAAAATTAGAGTGTCTGTGGTTGTAAATGAATAGAGGACTCATATCGGCACTAACAATCACACCATGCCACTCACCCCCCATCCAAACTGTTAAAATCGTTTGAAATGTCCCAAAAATCCCATTTAAATGATCACATATATTTAAAATTTATTCATTTAAACAAGGAAAGCGTAGTAAACAACTAAATGTTTTTTAAGTAGTTTAAACACTGTTTTTTCCACGTTTGCTTGTCGCCCTGAACAGTTATCAATATGTATAAAATAATCATGTTCTATTACGTAGTGAAATAGTTGATGAACATCAAAGATGAAATTATTTGTTTTCATATTGACAACAATATTCAATAAAAATACAATAAATGATGTTATTAGAACATTATTAATGGTTAAAATATCAATGAAAATAAACATTCAACAGGATTAATAGAAAATATTGTTAAAAAATAATATCAAAATGAAATTTGTAGAAAGATTTAAAACCAAAGCCATATGTTCAAAAATAAATGAAAAGAAAAGAATCAAATCAATAATAAAGTTAATGAAAAGCTTGAAGAGAGTCAATAGCATTTGATATATTGAAAATTGATTTGTTAAACAATTTTAAATTCACTTTTTCATATTATAAATTAACTAAAATAATAAACGAAATCTTCATTTTATTTCATAGTATATTGAATAAAACTAAGAAGTATCATATAAAAAAAAAACAACAAACATTGACCTTCGTTTAGAAAACTACGTGTTAAATCTCTTATGTCTGATTATCAAGTAAAAGATAGTGAAGAATATGTGAATAAATGTATACTATCAAGTCTATAAATATTTCAGTTGAGTTGCAAAATAAAAAACATAAAACACTCAGCAGGTGATGAAAGAGAATAAAGAAAAGGTGTTTGATTCTTAAATTAAATATACAGGAGAAGTCAACAAAGTTAACATCAGTCATATAAAGAAATTACGAATAATATACAAGATGATTTTTAATGGCGTCATATGTAGTCACATGTTTAAACGAGGTGAAAAAAAAAAACAAGTTTGACAAAGTTTTTGTTATTATTATTTTTTTTTAGCTACAATATCATTTTATCATTAAAAATAAATAAATTTATCATAAAATGACATTAAAGTCTTATAATTTAAATACAATAGAAATACTATTAATAATTCTTTAATCAGAAATGTAATCAAAATAATGAATGAAGAATAAAAGTCAAGTAGTATACGGTGCATGTAACATACTTGTCGTACAGAGCTGCCGACCTACTAGACATTGGCAGACTACCAAGTCATCCCAAAGACTAGGTCAAAGTTTGAAAATTTTAACCTGGTCTGGTTAACTGACCAGGTCAAATTATTGACCTGGCTCTTACGTTTTGGAAATCAAATGTTGACATATCGCCTTACTATTCGAGAATACTTTAACAAATTCATTCAAATCCAGCAACAGATACTTGAATCGAAGATCAATTTAATGTCGTGAGACTTACATTGACTGTCAGAAGAAATTATTTAGATCCAAACCAATTAGATAGTAAGCTTTGTGCTCGTAATGCTGCGAAAATTAATTATCAATTGTAAATATCCTTGTCTATTATTATAAGTATTACTTATTTCCTACATTTTCTTTTAGTTCTTTCTTATAGGCCAAATCAAATATTGTTTGTACTATCATGATTGTATGTTTTCGATTTTGCGAAATAGAACTAATATGATTAAAAACATTGTGTTTATTCAAGTCTTTCTTCTGTGAAGATTTTTTTATATTGTCTCTTGGTTTTAATTTGCTATCTCATGCAAGAATTTGTTACTATCTTATCTTTATGAAAATAAATTGGGTGTACTATCAATGTATACAGAAAGAAAGTTTTCTCAAGCTTTGTAAACGATATGAAAGTGTCACTGCTATTGCTTTTGGATTATACGAAGTAAGTTTTTTATTGAAAAATTTTTGACATCGAGGATCAGTTTTTAGGGATATTCTTGTCGAGTTTCATTTTCAAAATTTCTGAAAGCTAAGATAATAAAAGAAAAAAAGCATCGAAAACTTTCACTCACCATCGCCGCTGATTATTATATCGGCTTACATTTCTACTAGCTTATTTTTCGTTGACTTTATTTCATATTCTATATTATCTTCTACTCTATATGTCATTTCTGAGACAAAGTTTCACTATCGAACATAATTATCTATTGTTAAAAGAGCATGTTTAGATAAATTTCGAAGTCAACTATGATGCTGAGATATTCAATTATGATCGACAATGATTTATTGACTGAATACGATCGTTATAAAGTCTCTTTAATTCCTTGCTTTATTTATTGCATGATCATCATTATATTCCAATAGAAAACAATACAAGATGTTGAGTTAAAAATCAAGAAAAACTCAGCAAATTCAGACAACTTTCAATATGTTATGTGTACATGAAGTTTATGCATTGTAATACGGACTGGAGTGCCTTTTTCCATATACTACTTTTAAGTTTGAAAGTTTTTTCCAAAATTGATAATAAAGATTACTAACTTTTATGAATATGGTTTAAATATTACAACAATATATCAAATTCAAAAATCCAGATAAATTTTTTCAAAAAGAACTATTTAAACAAATTAATTTATTCAAATGCATTTCTTAAAGAATATTTAACATCAGAATCAAATAATATAGTAAAACAATAGAAATTTATCTACGAAGGTTCTTTTTCATAGTTTTCTTGAGCATAGGGAAGACAGAAGGAAATAACTATTATCTTTCAACTTGTGTTTTTAAATTTTTTGCTTTTTATTTTAAAAAATTGAATTGAACTTGATTTCTTCGAAGTTCTTACACATTTTCATTAATTATTCCATTTTTTTTAGTTCAAGAATATTTTTATTTTTCAATAGATCTTCATAATTCTAGTATTCATACGATAATATTACTGTAATCTGTACACATTCAAATTATAAATATAAAGAGAACGAATAGAATAAAATAATTGATGAAACTTTATATCTTTGTCCTCTAAAACTAGATCAACAAGTTTTATATCACAAAGAAAATACAGCGACAGAAATAGGTCTCATAAAAAAAATAAACAATATGAATTTCATTCGTTGGTTACTAATTCTTTTGCTAGTGAAATAAATATGAGTTTTTAATTTAATATCAAAAAATGACAAAAAAAATGCGCTATTGTACTTTTATTCTGTTATAATTATTCTTAATTAACTTCTCTAATGTCTAATATAATTTCTCTTTATTATCTTTTTCAGTTTGTTATTTTTCTCTATATTATTCCAATTTATATTACTATTGAAACTACAATAAAAATTGTTTTTCTCAACGGTTTAAATGTAATTCGTTGTTCAGATCATCAAGTACAAGTATATAAATTACCATATTATACTGGAGTAACATTCAACAGTATAATAACATGTGATACAAAAGATGAAATCTATTCTCCACAATATACTGGTTTTAAATGGGGTAAATTAAAACTTATTTGTTCTTCGCATGGTACTAAAGTACAGGAAGAACAAGTTATTATAAAATCCAAAAATGGTGATATTCAAGATATTCCTTCTGCTAAAGGTCAATTAGGTCAATCGACAGAATTGTACGAGTTAATAGTCAAATCTAGTCTTATTTCTGACACCAGAATAGTATCAAGGGAACAACCAGCAGATGATGCATATTTTGATGAAAATATTACACCAAAAGAAAGAAGAATTTACATATGGTTTCCAGATCATCCAATTATTTGTCGAATAATATTTACTGGTGATGAAAATAATCCATGTCCTTCAATGCATAATCAAGAGATCGATGATGTTGATTATGCATGTTATTATAATCCGGGTGCTGATGGACTACCAACGAAAGAACAAATGGAAGCTGAATTAAAACAAATAGAAGAAACAGATGATAAACCAACTACTGTTGCGTATGTGTTAGAGTTAGGAGCACCGGTATGTATAGAATGTCATTTTATTTAGTTTAAAACTCTCAACTCATAGAAATAATTTATCTAATTTCGTAAAAAATTATTTAATTAAATAGATTATTTAGATCAAATTTAACATATTCTTCTATTGAAATAGGAGAAATGTTTAGTAGATCGATTCGAAGAAAGATATGTCACAAAACTGATTAGAAATAAAATTGTAATAATCACACTTACTTCCTGACTTCGTACCTTTTTTTTTTAGTGGAAACATACTGCCATGACCTTCCTTTTTTTCTTTTTATCGTGAGTCCATTTTTAGTTTATTACACATAGTTAATAGTTATGTCTTGTAAAGAATGAAAGTGTTCAATTCTACTCAGCAGGTATATACATAGACCAGGCTTACAAAAAGTAGGCCTATTTGAATATCTGATACCAAGCATTTAACTTAAATCCAAATAGTAGTTTACATAGCTAATGAAGCTCTCTATTGAATGCATTCCGTACCAAAATGTTATACATGAATTACGAGAGAAAGATTTCTGAAAAACCAAACAGTAGTTTTCAAGTCTTAGAAGACTGTAAAAAATTAGTGTTTAAGGTGTTATCTTCAAAGAACATAAAATCCTGAATAAAATAACGGAACACCGTATTTCCTATGACCCTCACTTAAAAAGTTAAAAGCACTACAAAAAAATGGAGAAGAAGCAAAATTTATCACAACATTGCTAAAAATCGCCTAAAAAACACTTGTTTTTTATTTTCTGTGATACTTATAGTTTCTTCAGAGATGATCATAGGAAATTCAATGATGCTCTCGTTTTATTCAGCATTTTATGCTTTTTAATGCGAGACTCTTAAAGAACTAATTTTCACACAGCCGGCCAGAACCTGAAAACTACCGTATTTGATTCCCAGAAACCTTTCTGTCATAATCTATCTACGACATTTCAGTATGGAATGTATTTGATGGAGAACTTCATTAACTATTCAAATCACTATTTGGATTTGAATTAAATGCTTAGTATCATTGAAAAAAATCAAAAATACTTAAGTCTTATATGTTTGAACGATACTGTATATTTGTATGGACCATTTCAGGCAAAACAGGACATAGTCAGCTTTCATTTAACTTTGATTCTTTACAAGAGTTATTTTTCTGAATAAGGTCTTCTAGCATAGACATATGAAAAAAAGTTGACTCTTTCAGCTGACTATTAATTGAAAACTAATTAACGAATATCTTTCTAACCATACGAGAAAGAAATTTGAAAACTTCAGAACAGACTCTCTACGACATGAATCGTACTTTTGGTGAAATTTTCTACAACAGTAGACTTCAAAAACCTGATTTTTTTAGAGATGCTATTCATTCCTGAAATAAAAATTTTTGTTTTGATATCATCTAGAGATTCTGTAGAAAGATTTGTATCGTTTGAAATTGGTTCTAAACTTCTCATTCGATTATAAGAGCATATTTTCGTATGTATATTCGTACTCCATCACGTCGTAAACGCAAAGTAAATTGATTTTTTTGAAAAATCTAGGCATGTTCAAAAGAAACGTTGCATAGGGATTTTGTAGCTTCAGAAGTTGTCTACATAATATACTATTTAGTTTTCAAAAATGTTGCCTCAATCTGGATTTTTCTAAAGTAAAATGCATGAAGTGAAAGTCGATGTTCTTTTACGTGTCACATTACTAACGCTAGGTTTTCTTTTTACTGATAATTTCTCTGGAGAAACGAACTCAATATCTTGAGAGACACGTATTTTAATTTTGTGAAGTAACACCGCTAACGAATGATTTTGTCATACGTCCTAGGCTAAATTAGGATTTGGTCAAAATCCAAATGTGTTTCGACAATATTCTAATTTGACTAGAGATAAATTCATACAATTACGTGTTTTATTAGAAATAGAGTAGAATGAAACACAAGAGAGAAAAACTGTAATCATAGCGATTACGTCGATAAGCAGTCGTAATATAGACGTACATGTTACAATCTAATCAAAATATTGTCTAAATTGAATTAAAAATTCATCCAAATAGATAATAACAAATCAGGTGTGACAGTGTGGAATAAGAGTAAGATTTAGTATATACTCACAATCACTCTTACTATCATACCTACTTTCGAGGTAGTTATACAAGTATGATGAATAAACTAAAGTGTTTTAACTTGTAAATCGTTTGATGAAATCAAAAGATATTATTGAATAAAAAAAAACTAGTTATTCTATTGACATTTTATCTGTTTTTAATGAATAAATTTATCTACAGTCGAATTTCGATTTTATTGGCAATATATATATATTTGAAAATATTTTCATTTATATATTTGTAAAAAACCAACTTTTATTTTTTGAACTCAAAAGTTCCTTCTTAATCTGACATTAGTTCTATACAAAGTTAATGCTAATTACAAAATATATTCTCAACTCTAACTATAGAAAAAAAAATATCAAGTATTAGAATAAATAGATTTAAATATAGAACGAATAATTTTAATTATATCATAACACTCCAGGATAATACTTCAATTGATTCTGCTGAAATTTATGATGATGAATTAAACGATCAAACAAACAACTCATCATATCATAACACACCTCATCCTATAAACTCATCAAAATCAAAAGAAAAACATGATATACTAAAGATTATTGGACTGATATTTGGAATAATTTTACTTATTGGTCTCATTGGTGGTGTTAGTTATTTTCTCATTCGAAAACATTACTTTAAGAAGTCTTCATCATCAACAATGAACATTGAAAACGATGGGAAAGATTCATATTCTCTTAGTACAAATCAAAGTCAACAATCATTAACTGTAACATCAACAAATGAAACAAATACACATGTACCTATGAATGTGTCGCCACAAGAAGAACAAACTTTTGCTAGATTACAACCACCCGATAGAAATAAACGACAAAGAACTGATACTAGTATGATTTTTAATGAAGATATGTGATTGTATATGATTTCTTTTTGATAATCAATTATTTCTGTTTTATCAAAAATCGAATGTTAAATAAAACTTTGAATAAAATTTTAAACAAAATCTTTTCTCGGTTTTTTTTTGATTGGTATTATTTGAAAAAATAAGAACTAATTTACTTGTTTTTGTTCTTCTAAACCGATATTTATATTTGATTGTAAGTTTCAAATAACTTGTCGAACGATGGTTCAAAGTATTTCAATGTTCATATATAAAATTCAAAATCTATTATTGAAACGTTATATTTATTTATGATAGAAACATAATTAACAGTCTTTTAAAAAGACGTATCAATTTATCAGGTAATCTGATTGTAAATGCTTTAATCTCTTCAGATAATTGTTTAAGGTAAATATTCTTTCGATTTCTTACTTCAGTTATAATTGTCTGCCCGTTTTTTAACTTGTTGTGGAAATGATGGAATAAGCCAATAAAAACTCTTATGTGAGATATGATCTTGATGATATCAGACAACACATGTTGACCGTAGATTTCTACTATGTTTATTCATCCAAGTAAATGCATCTTGTCTTTGCCTTCAACATTGACAATTTTCATCCAATAATGATAGCCACCACCACTGATATTTTCATTACTGCATTGTTCTGATGATTGTGTCCAAGTACGAACTTCTAACTTGTTTCTTTTTCTAATATTCTGTCTAGTCATGAATAAAGCAAGAGAAAGATTTCGTAGATTCAATGGTGATACGTCATTCGGATGTCCATCTATAATGCCAGCTGCCGTCATTCTATCTGCCATAGGTGGTGCTAATTGGAAGACACTATCGCTATCCGATGGAGGAATACCAATAAGAAAAACTCAATTCGGATTAACTTTATTAACAATAATATGATATGCAATTAGGCGATCTAACATCAAATCAATATATTCCTGTTGCCAGTCGGCTGAGCAACGTGGCATATGTCAGACTGAACCATTTTCATTAAGCTTTATATCTTCTTCATTTATTGATACTTCACAACCATTCGTAACAATTCATAAACTACGGCCATTGTCTGCTTCCTCTCCATCATTAGTACATTGAGACCATCGAAATATTTTACTTGATGATGTATAAATAAATGTTCGTAAATTGAATTCTTTTTCATAATCTGTTTTTTTTTCGAATGAACAAATTTATTCCATATTTCAGTAAGTGTATCATTAACTTCTGTTATAGTTAGACCAGGTAGAACGTCTTTTCTCTAAAAACAATCGAGAGTGTTTCTATTCTGTTTTATTTCATTTTAAAAACTTATCTCTTCATTCAATTGTTGATCATCTCCCTGATTAAAGGCAATTTCTGACATTCCGTTGATAGCCGAAAAAAAGAATAATTCATGTATTGTACACTCACGCTAGTAAAAGAAATTTGTTAAATGCAAATACATATTTTATAGTATTTGTAATCTATATATACAATTGAACTACATGAGAAACATTTAAATAGTTGATTGAACATCATAGTTGTCATTTTTCAATCATTATTCGTTTCATTCTGCACACATTTACTATATGAATTCAATATTCTGAATAAAATTTGTTTGCTTTAGAATCAAAGTATAGTTATTGTTCACATTTAATAGAAGTATAATAGTATGTTTTGTTTTTGGTAGAAAGGAATAAAAATCTTTGTTTTTTTTAATGTTCTGTAAAAGAAATAGAATCGAATATTAATAAATGTGATTTTTTTTGAGAAAGGCATAATTGTTTTACATATCCTGACCATCATACAAAATAACATATGATTTAACTCTTTTTCAATGAATTTTCTCCATGTATTGTTTGAACTTACGAGGGAAGGTCCCCAAGTGTGAGTCTCCGTTTCGAGTCGGGTATTTGTCATTTTGTGAAGCTCAGTGAGTACAGTAATTGTGTATAAAGGATTTCTGCCCATGGTAAACTTTTCAGGAACAACGAGGTTCCATACATTCTGAAAAATCATCATAAGACTCTTAAGTGAAGGCTAGAATTTTAATATTGTAAGGATAAAACATAGTATTGTTCGGGCCAATCTGGGGTTATCAAGGATGCTCTTTCATATGGCTCGAATAACAATGTATTCCGTCCTTATAATAGTAGAGTTAATTTGTTCTGTAGCTCATAGAGGACAACGTTTTCTATGAACCACTAAAAAATTCACTTTACTATTTTAAGGACAAGGTGTTGTTTGGGCCATATGAAAAAGCATCCTTGATAACCCCAGATTGACCCAAACAATACTATGTTTTATCCTTACAATATTAAAATTCTAGCCTTCATTTAAGAGTCCTATGATGATTTTTCAGAAGGTATGGAATCTTGTTGTTTCTGAAAAGTTCACCATGGGCAGAAATCCTTTATACTCAATTACTGTACTTACTGAGCTCCACAAAATGACAAATATCCGACTCGAAACGGAGATTCACGCTTGGAGACCTTCTCTCGTTAGCGTGATCATATTAAAAGAGTCAAGGGTCTGTTTTCTTTTATTTAATCGATCTTTCGATTTTTGTTATCATTATTGATATAGAAAGCAAATATTATTTTATTCTGGTTAAATTCAAATGAATAATCGAAGTAACATGTGGTCATTTTCACATTGATATCACTCGCCAAACACAATATATATTTATATATATATATGATCAATAGTTTCTACCATTTCTTCTATAACATCAAACCATATTCAAGGACACTTAACTCAATACTTGAAAAAAATAAGGTAAATTTAATAGTAGTCTTATCGACACCTTTTCCTATTTGAAAATTTTAAGTATTAGTGCTAGCATATTATACTTGTATATAAATTTCGATATTTTCTTTTTGTACAGATCATGAATTATTTGTTATTCATTTCGTGTCTATTTGCTGTCTGTTTGGCTGCTACTTATGGTCAATTCTTTTTTCCAACAACTGGCCGAACAACTGCTCGTCATACGGGAACAACTGGTCGTCCAACTGGTACAACTCCAAGTAGTGCATTATCATGCGTTTGTTCATGCTGTTCTGGTTTCCGTTGTAAACCAATGTTTCTTCAATCATTCATTGATACAACATGCACAACAAAAGCATGCAAAGACAAATGCAAAGTATTCGAACCAAAACATTGCGATCATACACTTATGGGTAGCAATGATGCTTATTGTACTGTTCTACACTAAGAAAATATAAGTTTTCAACTCTATAAAACTCTTCTATTATGTAGAAGGTTATATGAAAGATCATATATTTTATTTCAAATAAAAAAAATTATTACTTGGTTTTATGTTATAGACTTAAAGTAAAGAATTATGCTCTTGTTTTTGGTCTGATTCATCTGATAGATTCATAATGTTATCAAACAATTGGATAATTTAGAACAAAATTTTCTTCATTCAAAAGATATTAAGTTTTGTGTTGTGCTACTAGACACATGATTATGATACGAGATATAGAATAATGCTATAATTCAAAATATTTACTTACGACAATACAAAAGTAGTGGCGGACGTATTTCAATTCTTATAAAAAGCTTAAAGAAACTTGCTCTCTACATAGTCTGATAGCAAAAACAAAGCTCTATTTGTCTATGACATTTTGATTATTCTCCAACTAATAACATAATAAAAATATTTCAATGAGACTTGTTTGGTTATAATGTGTGACGGTTAAATTAGTACATATTCATTTCTACATGTGTCCTCTTCTTGATTTCCTCTTTGTTCTTCTTCTCTATTTTCTTTATTCTTTCATTTAGTCTCCCAGCAAGAAATTTTAACGATTTTAATCGCTAAAATTTTTCACTGGGTGGGTGTGAGAAGACTACATCTGCATCCAAATCCCACACCCACACCCGATTATAATTTGGATTTTGTTTTGAAATAGTCGTGATTAAAATTCTCATATAACTGACTTCAGCCCGATTTTGATGAATTTTTTATACTGTTGTACCGGTTTATAAACGATAAAGTGAAATACAAATAAATAGAGACCTTTCTCATGCAAAAAAATGACGAAAGAATCGATTAAAGTTAGATTTTTTCCGTTTTTTACATGCGAATTATCTGCTCTTCTTCTATTCTACCTATTAATTTGTTTTAACCTCGTATTACGTGTTAACCAGTTTCAATCTATTATTACTTGTTAATTGATTTTAATCTATTCGTGCTTGTTAATCGACTTATATTTTGTTGTTTGAGTTGCTTATGTTTAGAAGCCATGAAGTTATCACCAAGCTAGATGTCAGCAACAAAAGTAAAGTTGGAAAGGTGTAGGTTAGTGTGGGTGTGGGATGAGAATGTAGGTGTTGGTGTAATTCCAGAGTAAGGCAACAGTCACACCCACACCTACATCCACCCAGACCCATACCCGTCAGATCGATTGACCACTTTGTACATAAAATATGTGATCACATCTTGATTTAGGCCGAAAAGCTATATAAGTAACAGAAGATGGAATGTTTGAATTTCACCTAAAGATTACAATAGAAGGTTTCCTAATTGTGTTTTTCAAAAGAGGTAAATCACACATCAAATTTCAGAAAAATCAAAGTTCTAGAAGACGAGAAAAATAAATTGAATATTTTTGAATTTCTTAGAAACTGATAATTTCGGAAAATTTATGAAATAATATTTATTTGAAAAATAATTTTAATTTATAGTATTGAAGTATTATGTTATGAATCCATCAGAAAAAATAATTTATTGCGCTCATTTTAATTTACTGGTATTTTATCATGTTGCCACACAGAATACCGACTAGCTAACATTTTTCTCATTCTTCCCTCATGGCAATTAAAATGATTTACTCTTTCCTTTTTTTAATATATTTAACTCCTTGTCGGGTGTGGGTGAAGAAGAGATACGCCCACACTTACATTCACATCAACACATACCCTATGAAATATAAGATGGATAATATTATACATACTGACGCACGCTCGCATCCAACTCCACAAGCACACGAACACTACTTATCCACACTTCGCTTGCAGCACACCTTGAGATTTCTTTTCTTTTCTTTCAAGCGAAAATGTAATATTCATAATGGTTTCTGTTGACACAAATGGAGAACGAAAAGAAACAACAGCACGAAACTCCAAAAAACATATTCACTGAAATAACTCATGCACACTGTGGTATAGATAACCACTAATTTCACGGGCAAAATTCTGTGAACATTTGTTACTAATCATTCTGCTCTCATATTCTTGCGATTACAACGTTTTTGATTAGGTAAGTGCATATTCAGATTTCATCAGTTACCTGTTGATTTGAACTAACCTGGTTGACATTTAATATTGGATAGCAGTATTGAGAATATGGATGTGACTTTGTAGTTTAAGAGAACATCTATATCAATACATATACTCACGCTCACACTGAGGGCTTAATGCATGATATCAGACAAGTTCATTCAGTATGTACATACCAAGACGAAGAAAGCACTGAATATCCACATTCAGGAATGCTGCAGATTGGTATTTTGAAAGATAAGCTGAAGTCAACCAATTCTCCAATAGAACCAATCAAAAAGCATTATTTTCGACGGATTTACAAAAAGTTATCCAGTTGACGAGTACTAAGATTGCGCCATTGTCGACTAGTATTACATTCTTCCGAAAGGAGTTATAGATCCATATCAATCATATGTCATCTCGAGGATCATTAAAGTGGTAGAAGATGGACAAGATGGAACCTATGGATAAGATGCGCAAAAGACCTCATGAAACCATCTTCGAATAGTCCCTATCTAGCTAGTTACTAATGAGTTACCAAGTAAATAAAAAGTGAAGGTAAGAGACAACCACTACATGAAACACTTCACTATTCGGTTACTACAACAAAAATAATAGAATTATTAAGTGCTTCTTTTTAAGCCTTTCTTCTATATATTGTCATATTGCTATTCTTTTGTGTGCTACACTTTTACTTGAAGCATTTGCATGACTACGTCGACTTTTCGGTTTGTAATAGTTATCAATCATGAAAAACTGCTCAGGGAATCAGAAAATGGGAAAAAATAATGACTTTTCATCAAAATTATGACAAACTCTTGCCGGACAAACGACACAAAATGAAAGCGTTCCATGATGAAGAGCATGCGCTAAGTAAGATACTCTGATTTATTTCATGAAAAATCGAAGTCATGAAATTATTTTAATCAAAAATGCTCACTTTGGTCAACAAACTCAATCATTTTTATCTTCAGACTTACTGACTGTTCTCTACATTTCTTGTTGAATCCACTCTTCTGTAAAATCCAGGTTGCTGATTGATTTTGTGCTTGCTTGACTCCAAATTGACCAATGAGAGCTTTTCCGCACTGGTCAAATTTATTTTTGCTCAATAGGAATGAATCAATATTTTAGAGAGTATACCATATTCCTAGTGAAGCGATGAGCTATAGTGCAGTATGTTTTTACAAAAAATTATCATTGTCTAGTTACAATAGTGAGTTTTTCTAGACATCCTATTTCTGTTTCTATGAGAGGCAAGTATCACTCACAAGTTGCGTTAACCAACATTTGCATATTCCAAGAACAAGGACCTAAATGAAAGTTTAGAGTTTTTCAGTGTCGTTTACTGAGATTCGTATGTTGAAGAAAATATGTAACTCTTTTCAAGAGCTTACGGCTCTCATGGTGATGCGTGCGATCATAGTTGAAAATACAGATGACGTGATACCTGTGTGGATATTAAATAAAATCCCCAATATAGCTTACTAGACGAAAGTATTCTCAATAAAACTGATTATACTGATATAATGTCAATCATCATACTATACACATTTTCTACTTATTTTTTCAAACGTCGAAGTGAAGATACCGTCACGAACGTAGTCGAGGTCGTTTAGTCAATTCCGCAGGATCTACGAAGATATCAACAGCTTTTTTGCATCCTATCGAGACGTCTAGAGGAAGCGAAACTTTCCAGTCAAAACGTTTCGTTTTTATACTAATTATGTGCTTGTTCCTGCTCGACCTCCGCACCTTAGAGTCAGACTTTGTACTCCAAGGTTTACCTGTTATTGTAGAAGTCTTTCTTATGAGAATAGAAAATTCTCTGTGAACAACATGATCTGAAATAATTACAATATCTGTACCTTCGTCTAAGAGGAGCATTATGCTAATCATCGATCAATCAAGGTCAATATGCGCATGGAAAGTTGCCTATGTCAACTGGAATGACTTGCAATGGAGTGATCTCCGACCAGACCATACTAGAAGCTAGAATGAGTCAGTCGAAGCTACGATCAGCCTACTTTCGCATGTCGATCTAAGATTCGACTACACCAATCAATCATAATATAAGCACATACACAGTGAGAAAGACTTTTGTAGAGTGGAGTTTAGCATAGACTCCAAGCAGGAGCCATGCTAATTAGTTTTACAACGAGTTAGAGCCACTTATTTCAATTTTACAGTAGCTATTGCGTTCTGCCACTATTGACTGGAACACTTTGCATCTATGACAAACATATTAATCAGTTTTACGAGCACACATCACTATATGACAGATGCAGTTTAGAGCTCTTCGCTTTGAAATATTCATCGGGTAAGCAAATGTGGAAGCAAGAGTAAATTGTACAAGAATTGATAGACATTGTTGATTAGTGCATTGAGTGAGAAATGGTCAAAACCTATCATAAACATAAGTAGAAAACATCGCAGATATCTTAAGCATATCACATGAGAGAACTAGTGAGAGAGTGTAAGAAAAGTACTACTAATAGTTAGCTGGTGAAGGAAAACGATCATGAATTGATCAGTGCTAGTAGGATCCTATATCTTCACCCTGTAACGCTACAAATGACTTGACGAAGTAAAATGATAAATTGAATCAAACAAGTGAAATGTGTCTCTGTTAGTTCCACTTGATGGACTCAATTTGATTTACAGGCGAGTGATAAATCATATCTCCATCAATAAGAAGTTCGCATGCTGCCAAATAGATAATCCCCACAAAATTGATGGCAACTGTGATTGGTCATCAGTAGCCTACTTTGACGTAGATGAATCCAAAATTTGGCTAAAAGTATCAGTGGAATGGATGTGATATTAGTCTGTTTCTAAGTCTGCATAATAATATGCACGCATGTCTTATCCTTATCTATTTCTCGATTGAGAAAATAATTTCGACAGAATATGATTCTTCAGTAGAAATGAGTATAGCATCGAGCGACATAATCAGGAGATCATGATCACATGTTCATGTGAGATTCATTGCTTTGAAAAGTTGTTTCATTTCTTTATGAATCTCTGTCGTTTCTCAGTCGATCGATTTCATAAGATCGAAGAATTTAGAATTCAAAATGGAACTTTTATTTGACTCTGTTGAGTAAATAATGAAGGAAACATCTCGTCAAGTTTAGTATTGCAAAAGTTATGAATGAAATCCAGCTTAATTTTCGATACCAATATGTCTTGAGAGAACCATGTAAAGCCTCAAGATTTTTATAGTCAATACTGCTCGGCAAACTCTAGGAGTGTGGTAGGTATTAGCAGATTTGAAGAGCAAGTGTGCATTCATAGTTGAGATGTATTTCAATAGCTTAAGAGTTTTCTAGATTCTCCATAGTGTACTCTACGTTGAAGACTATGCCTTGTATCTTAAGTAGTTGCAATTCTTGTAATCGAACGACTTTGTCCTGTTAATTATGAACACATATTCAATAATGTATCGTCTTTTCTTGTTTATCGGGTTTTATTCTAGAGCAGGGAGTTGTCGCTAATTTACGTCAGAACTGGTAATTGCCCACCTATCTACTGCCGAATCACTGATAGCAGGTAATAGATGAATTATGAGCTAGTGGTTAATGCTGGTGGATGTCAGTCCTCATTAGACCATAAAGAAACTTCCTGACAACACATACATCTCGTTTTTCATGTCTTAGAGCTGTCGTTTGTTCAAAGACTGGCTTTAATGGGCAATACTTTTGGTATGATTTCCTATGTCGCAAAAAGTAACAAATCTAATAGATTCTTCCATCTTTCTATCAGAATTATTATCATGTTTGTAATTTATATTACTATTACTATCCTTACAAATCCGAAAAATGAATTTAAAGATTGCAAAGCATTTGGTCTGCACAATTCAAGCTCGAATGAGACCCGAAAAGCTTCTGGTCCACCATACTTAGCTATTATCATATCTTCATCATCCACACGGTTTAATTTCACAAAAACAAATCTGAATACTGCATTACCAAATTACTTCGACATTAAAAAGAAACACCCTATCTCATACAACGATTCACGAGTCAATGTCCATGGTGACAAGAGTGTTTCATCGCTTTTGCTTACTTATGTAGACTTATGGAAGGAAATAGGAGCGAGACCAAAGTCCGAGCTAGGAGACAATGATTGGATATTTCTGTTCGAAGATGATGTCAACATAGTCCATGTGAAAGCCATCGAGGGAAAATATGGATCGATTTTTGTAAAATGGAATTATACAGATCCACTTCACTCGTTAAGAGGTAAGTAATGATGTTGTGCATATCTTGAAGTATGTACATGTGAACATGGCTATTATCATTAATGTCTACCTAATCCCATGCAGTGGCACCACCTGTCCCATGCACCATATATTAGATGAGGCGGTTGGGTTTTTAATTGGTACTTTACAAGTCCTCAAATGTAGAGCTCAGAGAATCTATCAGAGAAACAAATTTTGACAGTATCGATAGATGAGGAGGAAATACTCTATCCTTTGTTGTTGATATATATATATATATCGAAAAACAGAAATGAGAAAAACTCTTGTTCTGATGGCAGTTTTTTTGAGTTTGTTGATGCACTTGTGTAACTGCTACTAAAGATAATAATACTATAGACTCGTTGAACATTTTTTCAACTATTTAGATTTTTTCGTTTCGTCTTCAGAAGAAAAGGCTTTTCCAATTTGTGTTGTTCGTTCCAGTATTGAAGTGGAAAACTATGCAAATACTGGCGGTCAAAATTATACAACAAGTTCTTTTGCGAAATCCTGTGCGCTCATTTTAATACAAAACGTTTTGTTTTTCATGAGAGACCATTCGGAAGAGTAAATTGTGTTCTATACAATGATTACTTTATATCATAACTTCCTTTGAATAGGGGTGAAAAAAGCAGCAGTTTGGGGACCCATATCGAAAATGTCAGACAAGAAAGCTATGAAAGATAGTTGCTTCTGCTAATGTTTAGCCTATTTTGATGTCTAATATATCATTAGACATAGCATGAAAAATTGTGTGTAGATGTATTATTCGAACAATACTTCATATTGAGAAATCGGATTGGCCAATCTTCAAATCCACATCGAGCACACAGAGAACTCCTTGTATTGACTCATTCATACATTGATTAAGATATTTAAATTTTCATAAACATATGTAAATATCTCGAGAATCTATTTCTCTACAAAACTCCTACATTTGAAGTCAACTTTAGTTGTATTTTCTCAAGTTATATAGAGATACTCCTAAAAAGTATCAGGATACTTTTTGGAGCAGCTTTAGATTTTGAGGTCGATCAACCCAATTTCTCAGTATGAAGTATTGTTCGAATAACACATCTGATATAATTTTTCATGCCATTCCTAATGATATATTGGACATCAAAATAGGCTAAACATTAGCAGAAGCAACTATCTTTCATAGCTTTCTTGTCTAACACTTCTGATAGGGACTCCCAAACTGTTGTTTTTTTCATCCATGTTCAAAGAAAACTATGATAAAAAGTAATCATTTTATATAAAAAAATTTGCTCTTTCAAATAGTCTGTCATAGAAAAAAGAATGTTTTGTATTAAAATGAACGGACAGGAATTCACAAAAAAAACTTGTTGGATAATTTTTGTGAAAATCATAAAGGCATACTCTGATTGCATCCTGAATGAAATCTTGATAGATAACATGGATCAGTCTGAAATTTTGCATGAATATACTAGAGGCCATGAGTTAAAATATGATGAAAATCAGACTATTCTAGCTCACCTAACTTTTGAAATATAAACAAATCAAAAACTATGCTTGTTTATTAGATAATTTTGTTAGTCACCGTATGTCAGTTATATAGTTATATTTGGTCATATCATGTATTCTACCCTCATAAAAATGTTTCAATTATCAACCGACCCAAATGTAGTAGAGCACTGATGAGGCAGAAGTCTAATAGACAGTTTATGCAGAATTTTATTTAAAAAATCTAGATTTGACTTCTTTCCTATGAGTTTTCCTATTAACTCCAAGCCTGCTTATGAAATGAAGTTCTCGCTCATTGAATATAGATCGCGTTCCATATGACCAATGTGATTTCTTCGATAGGAATTATTGAACAAGGTCTAGAAATGGCAAAAGATGATGGCATTCTGTATCTTGGTACATGTGGACCAGAATATGTAGAAAATCAAACCAACATTCAACATTCTGTCGATGGCTTATTTCAATTCTGTCGTGGTATACACTATTGTACGCATGCAATAGCTTACACTAAATGGCGCTCAAGAACAATATGGGGTGATATGGCTGCATATACGTTCTTACACAATGAAGTTGGTGTTGATGCAATAGCTCGTCAATGGCAGCGTCACTCTAAAACTTTTCCGCGATGTGCCGCTGCGAACATACAATGGCCAGATGGTACTGGTCATTTCGGATTCTTCTTTCAAGATAGACATGCATTCTGGTCAACCATACAATAATATGTTTTCTTAATTACTCTCAAATATCTAAGTCTCATAATCTCTTAGTTTGGACCATCTTTCAAATAAACACAAAAGTCATATCTTTCTTAGTACTTGACCTTTCGCCTATTGCTATGTATCAATGTTGCAACAAAGTTTGAAGTTGGAAGCAATTAATTTATAACACTTACAACTTTAGTCTACAATCAAAGGAAACAAACTGATTTCAATATCAGAAATCAATTTGAAATCATCAAAAATCAACAAAATCACTTGAAACTACTTGAAATCATTTCCAATCAATAGAAATTATTGTTGTTGTGTTTGCATCAACTACTCGAAGTTTTTTTATTTGTAATAAAAGAAAAACAAGACTCTCAACTTGTCATGTAGTTTCTGTTGACTTTATCACAAAAAGAATAGTAATCGAATGATAAACATTGAGAGTTTTATTCTTCACAAGCAAATTATAGGTATTTTATAAGGATATTCTATGTTCTCTCAAATAATTCGTAAATTAGTTGATGTAAATATTTTTATACACGAGAGGAACGTGACTATATATTCTTTAGTCATTTGTCAACCTCGATATCTAGGAATTTATTCTCTATGATCTTATTGCTCTTGTCTTGTTTCTAATGTAATTTGACAAGGAGTAGACACTTTTGTTCCAAGTCATTTCTATCTTAGTCTTCCTCAATGAATATTATCCTTTTGTTCATCGATTTCTTCACAACGTTTTATTCTCGCTAAATTATTTCGATATATTGAGCGAGAACCTTGCTATACCTCATAAAATCATGAAATAAGAAAGGATCAATTTTTCAAATTTGTCAAACAACTTTATAGTGAGCAGATGGCTATGCTTCTAAAAATTCAAGAGTAGTTAAATTAGAGCCGAAGCATATGCAGTATAGGATTGATTTAATCCGGATAATTTCAGAATATGACACATTTCTTCCTTCAAATTTAGTTCATTCCGATTATTCCTGTTCGACTAGTCGAGATAAATTTTTGGAAAATAAGTTTTATTCATTCATTTCACCTTTCTTATACAATCTTTCAATACTACTGTGATTGATGATGTATAATAAAACAATATAGATACTATTTTATTGTTCTCATAATAATTAACAATTATTTATTAGTATTGTCTTTTCGATTGATTTCTACAAGAACGCTTTCAAAATTTGTATTTGATTATTCAATCATTATTGTTGTTTTATCATCACTATCTTTTTCAGAAGAAATAATTGGTTTACGACGTTGATTATTAGCTAAATATAAAAATATGAAATGAATCAACTAAGAATTTATAGATTTTAGTTTACAAATGTTTTCTGACATTGGATGTTCATTTTGTTCATTTTTATGCTAACAATAAATAGAGATTGTATAAAAAATTCTATCAAAATAAAGAAAACATACAAGTGTTGAAATTGATGAATGAAGCTTTTCTTCAAGTACATGATTATCTGGAGGATATGCTTAAAAAATAAAGAAAAATTTAAAATTCAATGTCGAATTTATCAAGTTACTATTTGCTGAATCAGTTGTTCTTTCTTGTTCATTTGACTAAAATAAGTTAATAGAATATATATTAACTAATGAAATAAGTAATGCTACTTCATTCGGTGAATGAGGTGACGATTCATGTTGTTCTATAAAAAAAAAATTTGCTTTGTTTAAATAATATTTACTGTCTGTACATCACCTTCTGGACTTATTGTACGAGTAATCGTTAGTTCAGGACTTGTTGTACCAGTCAAATTCGAATCAGGACTTAATATGGGAGTGATCATTGAGGTATTTTTTACTTTTAATTTCGCTAATTTTTTCATTCGTTGTTCAACTCGACATCTATTTAATATTTAAAAGAAAATCATTTTCAATGATGATAGAATAAATTCTAACACTAACCTTTTACATGCTTTTGATTTTTGAACATTTATTATACCAAAAAGACCACGTTTTCCACCTATTCGTACGTTATGTTTATATCTAAATTCACAACAAATCGATAAACGATTATCAATAAGACCATTTACATAAAATGTTAATGCAAATGGATAATCAATATGTCGTCGAGATTCAAATTGAAATGTTTCTAAAAGAAAAATCGTATTTTTAATAATTTTAATCAAAATGAATCGATTATTGTTTAATTACTATTAGGTTTTAATGCACCTTTATAAACAATAATATTTTCTCCTCCACAATGTTGTTGCATAACAATTATCTCATCACCTTCAGATTGAAATAAACTACGTTTATAAGGAATATTGGTCTGTGATCCATAATATATCAACGTTACTATACATCGATCACTAATTGGATTTAACTAAATAAAAATAAAATTTTAAAGTAAACTGAATAGTACGATTGGATTATATTAACATTTATTATATGCTGAATTAATTTGAAAAATGAGTAAAAAGAAAATTATATTAGTCAATAGATTTAAATCGTTTTCAAATATCACTGTTTAGGGTATTGTATATATATATATATATATATTGATCACTTTTTATTGCTCTATTATCTATTTAATTGATTGGAAACTAATGAGCATGAGACGAAGTTAGAATAGAATAACTGAAATGTATATATTTAATTGCTTTTCTAATAAAAAAAAATGTTCTATTCAATATTTACTTATAAAAATCATAAAATAACAACATTAAACTACATTTCATACATTGAAAAGCTGCAGTTCAAGCAAATCTTTCTTGTTGATCATGATTTATTAGGCCTTAGATTTCATGATCTAATTGAATTACTAGTTTCGTGGTTGTATCTTGACGTATATGTATGATGTAAATAATAAATATCTCAAACTCTATTGATCTCATATTAGCAGAAATACAACTGTCTGTCAAGATTTATGAGAAATAATCTTGTTTGATATATAAATAAATAAATATTCTGAGAAGTAAAGAATCTAATATTACCTTTGGACTGATAGTACGACGTGCCAAAACACTCTTTACACGTGTTGATTGATTAGATGATGAAAGACGTGTTGGTGATTGAGATTTGCTTCTCTAATACAAATAAAAATAAGACATATATAATAATATATAATATTGTTACAACTTTGCTTGTTCGAGAAATTGTCGTATTCCTACATTGTCTATCAATTGAATAATTATTCGGTGATTTTGAACGTTGACATTTTCTAGTGTTCTGTTTAAAATGAATTGAAACATTTCAGAAAAGAAATATATTAACGAACTTTTGTATTTTCTATTGAATGTTTTCTATTTGCCGTAGTCGATGAAGGATGAATGGATGTCTTCTGAAATCTTTATTTACAAAATAAAGAAAAAAGATGAATTGACTTAAAAATAGAATACTTTTCGACATTTTTTTTCGAAGTATGCCGTCGTCTAGAACGATGTTTAGGAGTATGCTCATATTCGTCGTTCAATATGACTTCACCATGTTGATTAATCTTTTGAATAGATATTAATATAATTTGATGAATAGAAAGAAAACAAAGTTCATACCAAACCAACATCAATTAAATGTTGACGAATATGTTTAATACTTAAAAGTGTTTGTAATTGTTTATTTGTCAATTCATTGGATTCTCTAGAAATAATTTTTCGTCTTTTTTTTATATTTTTTACAATCAAGCAAAGACATACTTTACATCTGTCATTGTGTATGTGTTTTTTGATTGATCATTCGATGTCAATAACAACAATTTTAGTATTATGATAAAGAAAAAAAAAATTTTTTTCTTTTTTTATTATTAATTGAAGAAAAACAAATATAATTGCTGAAAGCTTTTTCTTTTTCTTTTCTGCATAATAAAATACTTGTTCTATTCACATTAAAATATATGTCTACATAAAAAATAAAAATGTTTTATTAAGAAAAATTATATTAGTTGAGTTAACAAATTTGTTCTAAGAAAAATAGATTGATGAACTGAAAAATTTTCACATATATGTAGTTCATTGCAACTCTCATTTATTTGTTAGAACCAAGAGAAAATATGTTTTTAAAGTAATTTTGATTCTATTTGTCTATAATAGTAAAATACAATGTTACCGTTTCATTTGACAATTTTAATGTGCGTATGCAATGTGTGGGTATATAGGAAGGAATAATTAATAAGTTTCTAGAAGCTTTTACAATCTATTACTATTTTTCTCGAGAAAAATGCAAGAATATTAGTAGATCAATATGAAAAATCATGTGATCAACAATTGACAAAGCTTGCATAAAAATTATTATTTTCAAATTGTGACCATGGAAGCAAATTAGAGTAGAATTCTTAAATTTTGAAAATATTTAAACCTGTTGTTAATAGTGCAGATTATAAAATCATTCTATTCATTGACTGCATACAAATTAAATAAATGAATCAATTTTTTCGTATCTGATAAAAGAAGTTTTGTATTGTAAACTAATAAAACTAAATCTTTCCTCGCAATAGAAGACCACGAATCTTGTATAGAAATAGTGTTGGACTCAATCTTGCAAAAATTTCGACTAAAAACCTCGAAAACTAAGCATATCTTGATGTAAATATACTAATTAAAGTTCTAATTTAGCGAGAAATTAATTAACTAGAATGCTCCTCTATTATCAGGGGATTCTCTAATATCAGAGAAGGAGTTAAAACATATTTAGGCCAAATAGTCGCTTTCATAACTAAAATAACAAATTTAAAATATCGGTTACTCCTGACGCATCTGAACTGAGATCTTCGGTTTTTAAAATATTTACAATTCATATGTAAATATTGATCGAATTCTGTGCATTATTACTGATATATTAGTTTTGATATCTTCTCGAAGTTTAGTTATATTTAATAAAAATAATTAGATTGCCTTCCGATTTCAACAATATCTTGCATGCAAGATACCTCAAGAAGACGAACAATTCGTTTAAACAATGTAAAAAAAAAAAGTTCGATCTAAGGACCACACATCGTTGTATGAACTTCGAAGTCGTAAAATAATGATAACTAACGAGAACATACTACCTTGATTTTGAGAGAATTTCAATTGATCTAAGTAAACACATATTTTATTACTTTTCTGATAGCAATTTATTCATGAAAAAAAAATGAACATTATTCACACAGTAATCGAGCAGAAATGTGCATATATGGCGGTGCATATTTCAGTAATATTCAGCATTTCATAAAAGTTCAATTATTTGATCCACTATTTAAAAGTCATATTAAATCTGTGTTCATACAGATTAAGGAAACAAACGAAGTGATTGTAGAAATTGAGAAATCAAAAAAAATGTTACCACGTTCATTTCTATCATTCTATTGAAAATATCCATATGTTTTCATATTGAATTACGGCAATATCGTACTGTACTATGTATTTCTTTCATTTTAAGTGCAATGGAAATTATTAATATTGAACGGATTTATATTAGCAAAAAAAGAATGACTTTTTCCCAGTTTAATACTACTAAACTTCGAGAAGATATCAAAACTAATGTATCAATAATGACGCGAAAAACTCGAGCAGCAATCTTGTACATTGATTAACAAAAAAAGAATCAGTTCATTGTACGCGTAAAAAAACTGAATCTAAGAAATTCTTCGAGATTTGAGTGAATTACAAATTTTTTTTTGCAGTGTTGATATTTTACAGTATCTAAACTATCACTTTCATTCCAATCGAACGACTATAGAGTAGTGTTTTAATGCTATTTCCTTCTTAGTCTTGCACATCAAATTTCATGTTTCTATGCTATGCGTCGTTACTAAGTAACAGGATTTATAGTTAGAAAAAAAATGGCAATTTTAAGCGAAACGTGTTCAGTGGAGACGTTTATCTGAGAAGGGAAAGACGTAGAAAAGGAAATGTAAATGGGGTATTTTGTATCTTGAACATTACTCTATCGAAATATGTGATCTACTGATCTATACATCTTTCTGTTCATATACTTTTGCTTTCAACATTCGATGACAGGCACTTTTTCTTTTTTATGTATAGTGACACAAAACCATTACTCCGGCAGACGAAAAAAGACTTGAATAGAAAAATAAAAATGTTTGCTTTTTCTTATTTCTATATTAGAGAAAAAGAGATCAAAGTACCGAAAAAACACTGTATTCATTCACTTAGTACAGTAACATTTTGAATTTTGTTTGGTCTATAAATTACGAACGGTTGTTCTAATTTCATTCAAACTTTTAAACTAGATAGAACTCAAAAGATTATATTAACGACAAAAATGTCAACCTTCTAGCTTTCACTGTCCCGAAAATATTCAAATTATATAACAAAATGTGCAGTGACACTTCTTCTACAAGATACTTCTAGTTGAATCTAGTCAAAATTCTCGTTAGGGGAAGGAACTGAGCCTTCTCTAGCTTAAAATCCTGGATTCGCCACTGATACAGAGTTGAAAAATCACATGAACTTTTTCATCGAGTAAAATCAATTTTACCATTGAATTAAGCAGAAATGAAACTGTACACTGTATCTCGCTTGATAATCAATGAAATTTGTGAAAAACTTTTGCTATATAATATAGACACAAGGCATAATAAAATGTACTACTCAGAAATTGTTTAGGTCTATTTTCATTTTTTCACACCATTTATACTAAAAAAGTTACAATTCATTCATATATTAAATCAATGCGATTAGATTAATTTTTTTAGTCTGATAAAACTTGTTAACAATAAATTTAATTCCACTTATTATTTGCATTAATATCAATTTATGTATTATAAAATTTGTATTTGATTCTAAATAGTTAAATAGACAATGTCCTATTCGATCTCACGATATTATATGTCCTATAATTTTCGTCATTTAATCTTGTTGTAGTAATAATTCATCAAATAGTACTATACAATGACATATTAAATATGGATCAGATATTCTTGAAGTTCATGATAAAAATATGGAAATGAGACTTATACTTCTTATCGTATGTTAAAATTGAGTCTACATGAAAAACCCATTATTTTTGTTTATTACTGCAGATATATAATATAAGACTTGGTTTATGGACAATATTCTTTTGTTATTTTCTCTTTAGTATTGCGTTTACACATAGATTTAAAGTAAATATATAAGATTTATTAATCCGTAAATGCGGAGGGGTCTTTGTATTGTTATGAATCATTATTTCAAAGAGCTTCTACTATTTTGAGTATTGCAAATATTTACTTAAGATTTGTTGTTAACATTAACATTTTATTTTTGTTGATAACAATATTCGACTATGATTTTTCTTCTATCTCATCTAAAGCGCATACACTAGAGATTTGATATTTATAACTTCTATTTGGTCATCAATTTATCTGCACTGCTTCACAGTATGTCAGTACACTTGAAGGATATATGAGTAAAATAAGAGTTTTACTCGTATGACTGTGTCTTACACTCTAATATCGTTCTTTCTTTTTTTTTATTATTATTAATGCAATTTGCGCAATAGAAATACTGATCAAGAAAAAATAATTTATTTATATTCGTTAATCTTGACATTTATGATGTCGTATAAAAGTAGCGAAAAAAACAACGATGTTATTTTAATTGTTTCTTTTTTATTTCGTTGATTACTATACAACAATGTCTGATCCGACAGACTTGCTCAGAGCTGAACTTGGTATGGTATCGGATAAATATGATCCTCATCATCCCCATCATCATCATCATCATCACCATGATAAGGTGATTTCGCCTACTGTTCAACCAGCAAACGATGCGACTCATAAAGTACAACGACGAGTTAGTCAAGATAATGGAGTCGACCGAAACTTACAACAGCACCAACATGAGAACATACAACAGCACCAACATGAGAACATACAACAGCACCAACATGAGAACGTACAACAGGAGCAACATGGGAACGTGCAACAGGAGCAACATGGGAACGT